ACCGGTGATGATGGGTAAATACAAGACAGAACCCCGCTCGGACCTGGATAGGAGGAAATCCCTCAATCAAGCAGAACAATCACCTTTTGATCAATGGACCTCAGTGGTATTGCATTAAATCAACATCGTTTGTCTAACAGGATAACGATGGTTGGGTTAAGTGCATTCTGCCTATCCGCCATACTGGGTCAATGCATAGTCTGATCTAATGGTTGACCGAGTTGCTCGGATTGTTGAATAATTCTGGTGGACCCCCGAAAGCAACCGTCCAACGGCTGACATCGCGTGAAGCCACAACACGTGGGATTGAGTTTTGTGGTCATCACCGAAAGCTCCGGCGTCTTGGGACTCAATCTCATCCAAAGACGCATTTCCTCTACGGAACTGACTCTTACTACACTCTTTTGGTGTTTTGATTCATTTGTTCAAGATGTCGGCTTACCCCAAGACGTGGCGCGACAGCGCGTATCTTGTCATCTCAGGTATCCAGTTGACCGCCATGCTCAGTGAGTCTCACCCCTGCACATGTCTCTTCTCTCATAAGATGACATTCAAAATTCATGGATCGCTACGGAAATCACGAAAGATCTCATATCCAGTCCATTGATGTCATCTCCGAAGAGAAAGACGCGACATCCGGCATCTGATGCCTCGCATCACCTCACATGAGCCCAGACTAACTCTCTCATCAGTGGTTGATCTGGTCCCCCTCTACCCGGCCTCGCTCTACGCAACGCCGTCGTCACCGCTGCACTTCCTCCAGCTCCTGCGCGACTTCTACATAAAGACCTACAACGACCCTTTCTTCGTCATGGCGCACGATGCCCAGCCCTCGTGGTACACGCTCTTCACCTACCTCGAGGTTTTCTACCAGCTCCCCATGACCCTGTGGATGGTCTATCGCTTCTCCCGCGGCAGTGGCACCACCGTGAGCTTTGAGCTTGCTGTCCTCGTCTTCTGCGTGGAATGCGCTTTGACGACGTTGACCTGTATCTTCGACGTTTCCTATTGGGACCCCAACGTGTACAGCGAGGCCCAGAAGAATGTCTTCATCTTCAATCTGTATGGTCCGTGGGTTGTCATCCGTAAGATGCTCCTCCTTCATGTGTTTTTTCTCGATGCTGATAAGTGAATGAAGCCACACTGATGGGACTGGACATGTGCCTGCGCATCCTCAACCGCGCAAACTCCGCCGACAAGACCAAGAAGATCCAGTAGAACACAAAAGGGCCTCCGGGCATTTTTGGTTACATTAGGATATCGTACATCCATGCTCGGTCAGACCGCGCGCGTAATCCAGACGAGTGATCCAAACTCCGTTTCTCCCATACGTCCATGTGTACAGCTCAGTTCCAGGCCAGAATCATTTCCCTCCCTTGCCCACCAAACAAGAAACTCCAAGCTTGCGTCGTGAAAAGGCCTTCAAAGAGCGGCGTCAAATATACATGAATCGGACCACATCATACAACTCCTCCACCATCATCGTTCAAGGCCAGGAAAGGCGTTAGTCCATACGCTTGGCAGCCTTGGAGTATCCCCAGCCGTTACCAACACCGTTCAGCCCATACCCCAGCGGCGTCGCGCCGCCGAGTCCCCGCCCCCTCAGTCTCTTGGGAAGGACCACGCCAAAGAAGTACGTCCCCGCGACGAGCACGCCCGCCATGAAGGAGGTGATGATGTAGAACACGGTGCTCGCGTACACGTGCCCGCCCATGCCCTGCCACTCCACGTGCCCCTCAATCTTGGGCAGGTTCGGTGTCGGGAACCACCTCACGGACAAAGTCAACGGCAGCGGGTCGCCGATCACCAGCCTTTTCGTATGTGTTCCATCCATGTGGCTCAGTGGGCTCGTGCTGTACGCCGTGCCGGAGTCCAGGACGCCCGAGTCGTGCGGGCGGGTGTGGTGCTTCGGCATGCTGTGGAGGAGCACGTTCATGTGCGTGCTAACGTGCAGATGGCTGAGCTGGAGGGTGCCGGCGAGCGCGAAGACGAGGGGTATGTATTCCTGCACGTGGGGCTTCTCGCCGACGGTCTCGACATGGGGCTTGGGGCGGGCGGGTAGGCGGCAGGACAGGGGCGCATCGTTGTGGATGTAGAACTCGAGGAGGTGGAAGAAGGGGTCGGTGATCATCGGGATCGTGCAGTTCAGCTCGCCCTCGTGGCCGTACTGGAACTCGAGGGGCTTGTTCGTCTCTTCGCAGATCGGGAAAGGGATCCATTCGATTTCGTGATTGGAGTTTTCGACGTGTTCTCCTGTTTCGCTGCGATGAGTGTTAGCCGGGCCGTTCAAGTCCAAGCGACATTCTCGCGGGAGGGCCTGATGAAAATATTGCGCCCATTGGTACTGATGAGGCCTTGGGGAAGATCGCCAAGGGAGAGTACGTACGAGCTTCGGTTCATGCACTCCACGTGGATGGGCGCGCCATAGTGGTAGGAAGGGAGGCCATCTTCGGGATTGGCTGCAGCTAGCCTTGACAGGCCGAGGGCGGCGCCCAGCAGGAGATGCGACAGCGAAGGCATGATGGAGATGAATCGCGAGGTTGACGTAGGGCAACCGGCAGGATTTAAGGTGTCCTAGCAGGACCGGGGCATTGCCTGACTCGGAGTGGTGGGCGCGACGGAGAGCGATCCGGGTCCAGCTTTCCCCGGAGCGAACTGGAGATCATTTAATCAAAAGGTGACAGCTGTCACTGGAGCTGCAGCTTGCGTATCTGCACGGGCTGATGGTAGATAAGATAACAGTGGACCCGCTTATCTCACAAGATCACGTGGATAGTACCCCAGGTGAGTTATGCAACTATCAGAGACTAGCTTGAATGAACCAACATCAATTATTCTTGGCAACATGTATCATTTTCGGCAGCCACCCTTATGCAACCTTTTTTTGCCTCAAGGCCCCTTCTGTTGAGGACGCAGTCTTTTGTCTCTCGGTCGTTCTTCGCCCCTCAAACATTAACTCCCGCTACCTGTACCTCTGCAAGGTTCCTTGCAATGATGAGCACCGAAAATGGACCGACTACCTCTAATGCGGCGCCCTACAGCTTCACTCTCAAGGATTTGAATGCATCCACTTGGGCCGATCACCCTCTGGGCAGAGCGGCTTACGGCATGAAGAGATCAGGCTTTCATCGCTGGGGATTCGTCATCTACAGGACAACGTACGACGACGACGCGGCCTGGGAGCGCTATGTCGGGGTTCTGAAGAGCACTGCACGAAGCGTGCTTGTGGACGAAGGAGGTGACGTGCTTCTTGAGCAGTACATGGATTGCAAGTAATTTTCTCCGGCCTTCTCGAGACTTACTATTGACGATTCTAGGGTCGGTTATGTCTGATAAGGCCACGCTGGATGGCGCATCCAAAGCGGACGTCCGAAAGCACTTCATATCCTGGCGTGAAGCCCACAGCGAAGAGCGCGATGGTCCCGGGACCACCAAAGACAGAGCCAAACGTCTGCCACGATTCAAGCACTGCGTCTATGTGGACCGCAAATGCCTCGATACGCTAGCTGGGCTGCCCGCGGACTGCGATGAGGAAGAGCTATTTAAGGTTGTGGCCGTGGTCATAGATGGGTCTTTCGACGAGAAGACTGCCGGAGACGACGAGGGCTTGTATCCTGACATTGAGGGCTGCACTGCACGCTACGTGGGCTGGAGATATGAGGACATTGAGATGCTGGTCGACACGTACGAAGAAACCCACAATTACCCGTTGAACCATATCGACTACAAGCGGCCACCCCTCATCTCACCAAACGGTCGACGTTCAATGCCTGTCTGAGGAACACAGGTGTCACAGCTGCGTTGAGAACCTCTTGAGCATATATTCAAGGAGTATATTTATCAAATTTTCGCGGTATCCCCTCAACATCTCGAGCATTGCTGACAATCTCCCCAGTGTATATTTTGTGAAGTGCAGTCAAAAGATAACACTTCTCTCGGTCTCGCTGACTGCTACCATATTGAAGCGAGCCCTATTCTCAGCCTCACAAGCTTGGTGATGTTTAAAATCATTCGGCTTAGCTGATACATGTTTCCACAAGACGTTGTTCGCTGAAGGTATATGCTGTGAACCACGGCCAAAGCCTTAACACCTTCCAACGTTTGGATCGGCTCTAGGAATGAGTCCAACATGTCAGCAAGTGTGTATGCAGATATCGCCCGATTATATTGCTCACCTGAATTGCCACCCGGCGTTGTCCGGCTGCCCGCCACTCTCACAGCCAATGATCTCCCTGGCGAGTCCATTGGCACAGTCATCGTCGTTAAGGTCAAAGCCAGAACCTTCGTTGAGATTGGTGATCTGAAATTCCCATTTCTGATCGGCGTACTGATAACAGAGATTCTTTGTCTCTCCGGATGCGAACCATCCTTGGAAGCTCCCTTGTTGCCGTCATAGCCTCTACAAGCTCTTCCCGTGTGATAAACTGCATCTCCTTTATTGGCCCATTTCTCTCCGTGGGTGTAGCAGCCAGCTGAAACGTATGCGTCGTTGGTGCATAGCACGGCAAGGCTGGCAAGACTGGAGGAGAGCTTCATGGCGTCGACTTAGATGGGTGAGCGATTGACAGGTTTTGAGCCGAACAGACTTATAACGCCTTTGATAAAGGCCGATAGAGTGCAGAACGGAGGTAATTGGGCTCAAGGAGAAAGACATCATCACTTTTATACACAGATTCCAGTCTGGCTACACCAAGTAGGTGGATGGGCCCTCATAACACAAACCTTCAACAATCACCAGTCTATGCCATCGTCAGTGGAAGACATTCTGACAAGCTGTCGGACGCGATGACCTCAGCACTCTGGATTCAAAAGCTATAGCAGAGTTATTGAGGCTAACCAGCAACACAACGGTTCCTACGATCCTGGAGGATTGTAACACAACCAACCAAATGGATTGCCGAAGACCTGAGTGATACAAGTTCATGAATGCTTGTAGGGCCTTGGCAACGCGATACGTGGCCTTGTGAAATAAAGAGCTGATAGAAGCTTGTGACATAAGCAATATGCACTCGGCCCAAGGCGTCAGAGACCCTGGGCTAGTATGTGTAAACCTGATATTTTTCAGAGGAACGATTGCGGTCTTGAATTACGACAACTTCGATAGCAACAATCAAACTTCACCAGATTAGTATCCGCTAGGGCCCTCTCGACTTTTATTCCAATTTATGACGTTGAGATTCACAATCTCGATTTCCCGATGCGTGCCATCTGTCATCGGCGCACGCAGCACCGCGCAGTGAGACTTGTTGATCGGCAGAATTTGTCCTCCCCAATCGGCTTATGTGACAAAACATGATTGGCGACAAGCTCGTTCATCCTCGCTGGATTTCAATGCTGTGTGATTATTACAGAAGGGCGAAGTAAGTGGCTGCGGCCTGCCACAGAAGAGCACTGTGGCGGTTCCAGGCACCCGATTACACTGGAACCTGCAGGTTCATAATTCGTCATGTTGTGATCCAATCCTGGACCATTAGTCTTTTAGGTCTTTTTAACTGTTTGCATTATTTGGTGGACGAGCCTTATCTTGTTTCACAACAGCCAAAAGGCCCGGCAGCCCAAGGCAGACACAATGATCCAGTCAGCCATTAGGCTGAACCTGTCAGCCTCTCAAAATTGAAAAGGAGTAGGAAACTTTTGTTCCCATAATCGCCACATGTGGTTAAACTCTTGTTGATTCGTGTCAATCGCATATTGATTTCGAAGTACGGCAACTGGAATCACTACTGGATTTTCAACCACATGATGGGTTCCTCTTCAGCTATGGATCCCCAAGGCCTTAGTTATGATCAATGGCTCGGAAAGCCGTTTGTGAGTCAATTGAACCTAGAAACGAAGCTTTCCAGCCAGGTAACGACGGAGGATGCAATGAAATGGGATACTACGACCTGCGACAACGTGGGTATGGACTCTTGGGATGGTTCGACTGTTATGGACGACATGTCGTCGCTCGCCTCGCAACCTTCATTCTCATGCCTTCCGGTCGACGACTCACGATGTGCACGAGTTCGAGCTAAGAGTCAGAAGGAATGGGATGCACATAAAACAGCCATTCGGCGTCTTTATCTGGTGGACAACCTCCCACTGAAGGAGATTGTGGGCATTATGACAGCAACACATTCTTTTCCAGCTACGTCAGTATTCCCAGGCCAACTTATGCGCTGTCATGAAAACTCAATTTTTCACATTGACAGCAGGGAAAGAATGTATAAACGACAATTCGTCAAATGGAACTGGAGAAAATACAATTCAAAGGGACTTCGTCAAAGTCGTCAAGACGGACAGGCCATTGAGATGCCCACCGGGAATGCGACATGCACAAGACCACCTCGACAACGACTAGTTAAGAACATCATGCACACACATTCCATCACCACCAAGCATTCAAAGCTCTCGACTACACTCCTTCACGCATCACAGAACCTCAGACTTACAGAGGAGGCTTTTGCTAGCCTCCGAGACATGATTCGCGGAATTTCTTGCCAGGATCCTGAATGGGGCAAAGCTGATAGATTTACTCTGTTACCCAAAAGTGCCGATCATCTTTTCAGACAGTTTGTTGTCGCTTCAGACCTCTTGACGACAGAAAGCTTTTCCAAGGGTGGCGAGATTCTTCGCCAGGCCTTCCGAGACCTTGAAGATGTCATTCTCCATCCATCCATCAGGATCTACCAAACTCTCCTACTTGAGGTTCCGCACTGTCTCAGCTCTCAGAGACTTAACAGGGAACTGAAGTCGTATCTGCTGCATGTTTCTCGGCTCTTAAGCATCAGGAAAGGCGATGAGCCTCTTACGCGTATAAGTCTCATGATGCAGCAATTCAGCGTCCAAAGTGCGATGGACATCCAGCAATTCATCAAGACAATGTACGGCATAGTCACTGACTGTTATACGGAAATGAGGGGAAAGGATGACTTTAACACCCTGAAAGCAAGAGTTGAGACATTGAGCTTAGACGCCTCCGGCAGAAACGAGACCACCTGCGACAGTATCATGCTCAGCGTTGAAAGGCTATTATATGAGTCCGCCTTCAAGCTTGGGAGGCAATCAAACGAAGCGATGGAGATCGAATTCTATCTTATTTTCACAACCCATCAACTCCAGCCGCTCTCCGAGAAGTTTCGGAGCTCGTGTTAACGCTTCATTAGTCACTTGAGGGGGTCGCAAGACCAATACTTCCGTAACTGGAGTTGTCGCAAGCTGCAGCTCTACGGTGTGGCACATTGGTACTTGTGCCAATACTTCAGTCGCATGGACGATCTTGAGTCAAGCATATCCTGCTTGAGGAAGTCTATCAACGCCACCAATCAGGCAATGCATCTGGCAGAGACCGATACTAATAGGAGAATCCTGGAAAGTAACATCCTGCAAGACCGTCTTTTTTTGGAACAGCTTCTTGCAACCTTAGCCCTTGTCGCAGAAACCACAGAAGCCCTAGGCACTCCCTCGAATCTGGGATGGTCCACAGGTATTACCTGTAATATTGATTAGCCTTGGAAAGAATTGGATGTTCGAAAATAGGATTGATAATGTCATAATCGTATAGGGTGGAAGCTGTTAGAAAGCTCCAGGAGGGCATTTCATGTCTTTTGTTTTCTACGCAACATATGCATAATGCTTCCTCACCTGCGTCTCACGTTAGGACTACATAAGAGGCTTAATGAGTAGTGGCTGACTTGACCGGCCAGTATGGCGGAGTTTCTCTAGTGCTTTGTTACATAGGTACATTAAGATTAGCTGATTATGAGCCTTCAGAAAGCAGTATCCTTTCTATTAGTAGTACCAAGCGCTATATACACATCAAAAGGGGGAGGGACAACGGGAAAATTAGAAAACCGCAAAGTCAAGGTAGCAATAACTGCTGCATGATCCAATGCTCGAGGTCTTAAAAGAAGGTTTCTATTGGTATTAAACATACTCTCGATGTCTTGCTGTAGGGAGAGTAGGTGCCACGGGCCAGAGGTTCATATTTCCCGCGAGAGCCCCCTCTACTTCGTGGTTCTTGAAGCTTTGGAGAGTATTACGCCTGCCACTCTGTCGTGTAGTCTTTCCGTGACAAGTCTTGCCTTGACTGCCTGGCTGAGACAACGTCGACTGCGACCGCCTGGTCTGGTATTTGAACCACTCCCACTTCATGAATCGTCTCTTGTACATCCTCTGACTTCGGAATCGTTAGGTCTCGCGGGAATATTTGATGTGGTACTCGCGTCACTCACCTTGCGCAGAAGAGATATCTTCCCGTCATCTCCTCCATCACCATCTTGAGATTCATGTTGTCTAACATGTAGAGCTTGTATAAATCATGTTTTCTGCTCTCCCAGTCTTTGTCACTCGGCCTGGGTGTCGAGTTTTGACGGCTTATCATTGTTGGTTGTGATGGAATGTCTAGATTATCATGTCCGTAGAATCTGTGTCTGCAAGCTGCGGGCTGTTCCTCCGCAGGATTGAGTACCGATGCCAACTCCATGTTCGATGTCTTGTTGATACCGAATGAAACTTTTATCCAGTATCAAGCAGTAGCTCCTAGAGAGTGACTAATAGGTAAAATGACGAAGTTCAAGTAAGTGACCTTCCACATGTCGAGGGAATTTATGGAATACGAAATGTTCGTAAAGGTTGCAGAAGCGACGTTGGATAACAACCTTAAATACGGCTTAAAAATGGGTACTCGAGGGAACTGTTCTTAAGGGTCACCTATCAGCCTCACCGAGAGCGAGGTAGAATGAAGGAATGCTGTGCAATCCATTGGTCGATTGGCTATGCAGGCGTCCCATGCTCATT